TTTGCATCTATGATCCCAATTAGATTATCTGACCTTGGGTGCATTATTTACAGGCTGGGGCCAAGGAGAGCATTGTCCCTAGTGTCCAGATTTTGGCCATAGAGGTGCAGTTCGGCCTCCGCAATGCTGTCAAGAAAGTGCCTCGCTTTCTCAGATGCTTCCCTAACCTGGAGACGCTCCATGTCTATGTAAAACCGGTTAACTCTGCATTGGCAATTTTGCAATACTAGTTTCTGTGTTATAAGATATATCTAGCATAGTCAGAACTGACTCTCTATCTTTTCTCAAAAGGAAAACTGATTGTGTATCTAGCATGGTTAGAACTGTGAATCAGATTAATCAAATATCTGCTGGCCTGCTCATAGATAACATAGATCTATCCTGAACTTGTTTGAGACTAAATGCTTAGTTGTTGTTGCTTATAGTTAAGATACCTGAACTAATGTATGCACTGATTTATTTCATCTGCAGTCCTGCCGCATATCTGAAGAGTCCACTGGCAAGGTCAATCTGAAGTTCTGGCAGGAGGGCGGTCCAATGAAATGCGTGGTGCAGAGCATGACGAAGGTGTTCTTCTATGAGTTCCAAGGGTCGAGAAGCGAGGTTGCTTTCCTCAAGTTCATCGCGGAGAGAGGTCGGGTGCTGGAGCAGATGGTTGTTGTGGTGGCCAGCAAATGTTTCTCCTCTGGTGAGGATAATGTGAGGGCCAAGCTGAAGCCTCTAACGAGCGCGAATTGGAGCAGCAAAGCTTGCAAAGTAGAGTTCTGCAAGAGCACGCGCACTGAACCTGGAAGTCCTATTTACAGCAACAAGATAGCTTCTGATTTTGGGTTTGCTGACCCTTTTGACCTCCTCGAGTACCACTAGATGCAGAAAGGATCTCTGTAAGTTAATTAGTAGCATTATGCCGTGCCTCTGGTGCTGCAAGACTACTTGTTACCTAGCTAGACTTGGTGTTGTTGGACTTGGCAGCATTTCTCTTGGCAAGCTGTGGCATGCTTTCTGGATGTGGTGTTTGCATGATGAGGCTGTTTGTGCCAAGAAGTGGCTGGATTGCTGGTGGGAGTAACATATCGAATTGGATAAAATGTTTGTACCAATAATTTCTTCAAGTCTGTTCCATCTTCACTTTATTTTCCTTTTTACATTGTGTTCCATCTTTAAGTCTGGTGGGAGCATGGTGTTTCTGGTTTGTCCCACAGGCTCGCCGCGCTGCAGTGAGGTTTTTTTTTTCGCGAATAGCGCCACAGTGAGTTAGGAGTGCCCTTGAGGATGTTAAGGCACACTGTTTGTTTGTTAGACTGTTAGCCATGCATGGTGAAAGAATAGTTCAGTTAGTCTGTGTGCTGGCAGGAAGTTGCTGCTTACAGATGTTCTTTTGCCTAGCTTAAACTATCACAAATGGTTTGCTGTAATTGCTTCATGGAAGAATCTGGATGACTTATATATCAGCGTGTGATACAACTCTATGCTCTGAATGTACTTGAAACTAAATTAAGGATTTCATTCTGCGTTTGTGTTTTGATCTGAAATGCTTCAGCGTGATTCCCTTCGCGGACTTCTGTGTAAGGTGCTTCTAAATTTTAATGTAAGATGGTTCTTAACTCAGGTTCAGGTTCAGTGCCTAAAGTGGCGGACGCCGGTGAGGAGGGGGAAGACACCGTACCCGTTGCAGCAGTCGACAGGTGTCCTTGTCCGTCGTGCTGCCGCCGGGCCGTGCGATCATGTAGTGCAGTCTGCAGAACACACCTTCCTCCTCGGGAGTGCACAACTGCAACTCAAAACTTGGCTCCAAAACAAGTATTGGCAATTTGTGTTCATAACTTCATATGCTAAAATGTGAATCAGCTCAATCAATATTTTTTCAAGAAGAAACCATCTTGTCTAAAATAGAGCTAGACGCTTACAAAGAGGCGATCCAATACAGCGGTGACTGGCTGAACGTCAAAGAAAAATTGGATCCAATACAGCGGTTCTCTCTTGGTCAACTCAACCACCTTGCTGACCCCTTCACCGATCAGGAAATTCAAGACTCCTTTCTTCGGATGAACCCTAACGTTAACACAGAAGCACAGACCGAGCTCCTTGAAATTCAAGACTTCTGCAATATCAAGGTGTGCTTCAATGCGTTTGATCCTTAAGGCTTTCGACCCAAACTATGTCTGCCACCCCATCGACCACTCCCTCCCACGACACCTATGCACTTCTGCTGAATAAATCTTGTCGAGGCAGAGAGCAAGGAACAGAGCAGAGGAGTTGGAGCTGCAGCTAGCCAAGCACACCCATCATGACACATGCCATGTCGTGTCGTTAACAGAATCTCTTCACAAGTGGTCTTGAAAAAAGAATCTCTTCATGAAACCCAGTCCTTTCAAGTTACAATTACTAAGCTCCCTATAAATGGAAGCCTATAAGAGCCCCGAAGTTTTTTCCTCGGAAGTGGACCCTGTCTTTAAGGGTCCAGTTGGATCATGGGCCCCGCATGAAAGTATCGGACTAAAGTATTTTTCAAAAACTTTAAAAACACTCATAAATTTATTTTATTTATTAACTTTAAAAACACTGATTTTTAAAAATATTCACGAATTTAAATAAACTTCTTAATTTAAAACTTCTTCACCAATATCAGAAAAATATTCATTGATTCTACAAAATGTTCACAAGTTTTATAGTTGTTCATGATTTTTTTAGAAATGTCACAACTTTTTAACAATATACGGGGGTTAAAACATATTTTTAAATCTAAAACATGTTCACGAATATGAAATATCATCCTGGATTGTTAAACAAATGTTCACAATTTTGCATAAAACATTTATGAATTTTGAAAAATGTTCGATAATTTAAATTATAGTTCCTGAATTTCAAAAATTATTATTCATTTTTAATATATTCGATAATTAGAAAAAAAAATAAAAAATAGATAAAATGGAACATGAAAAATATATATGAGAAAAGTTGATAAAAAAGAAGAGAAAAAATATCGAATGAAACCTTTCCAAAACCGGAAGGATCGGATTACATGGCCAACCCAATAGCATTCATGGGGATCCGCAATTTGCTCGACGATATGCATGAAATCTTAATTGCCATAATAACCATTGTGCGGAAAGAAAATTAAATCCAAAATCGAAGTGGGCGCAGCAAAGCGCGTGTTACCCTCTAGTGAATAGAAAAACTGGCCACCCGTTTTTTGGTAAAAAGAAAAACTAGCCCACTTCTTTCTTAGAAAAAAAAACCCACTTAGGATGGCTTCCTTGGCGCATGGCACGCAAAGAGGCATGGCTTTATCTTGATGGCGGCGAGGCATAGCGAGCGCTTGCCTCAAGGGCAAAAATGTGCGTAGATTTAAAAAAATGATATGTAGTGTCAAAAAACAAGTTCAAAAGAATGTTTGCACCGTTTAAAAAAGATTGTAACATTTAAAAATCTTCATACATTTAAAAAATTATGTTTATTATATTTTGAAAAAATAAGTTCGTCATGTGTTGAAAAATGTTCAACATGTATTTAACAACTTGTTCAACATGTATTTCAAAAAACATTACGTCATGTTTTTTTTCTAAATGTTCAACATGTATCTGTAAATGTTTCACATGTATTGAATTTTTTAAATGTATTAAAAAATTCTACCCCACACCTCAATATGAATTTGTAGGTTCAGAAAAATTCTTAAAACTTGTCAAAATGTCATCGATTTTTCAAAACGTGCTATTCAACCATGGTTTTGTTTTTAATTCCTTAACACAAATTCATAGTTTTGATTTTCCTTTACAGAAATTTGCTTTAGAAATATTTGTTTTTTAACTCAAGTAATTGAGCTCCATTTAAATTTCAGGCGTTGCCCAAAACAGTGTTGTGAGCCCAATAACGCCCAGTTTAGCCCAATAACGTGTAGTAGGTCAATATTGAACCCTAGCACCAGGCAGGCCCAGCGCACGCACAGAGCAGCCACGGCGCAAACTCTCCATCTCTCCGCGCAGGACCGACGGCGGCGTCGGCGGCGCAGCGAGTGGAGCGACGGCGTCTCCCGCCGACCACGTGCGTCGCGGGGTGGGGCAGCGGGCGGCGAGCAGGTTTGCCCCTCAGCTCGCCGCAAAGCTCTGTTTCCGGGGAGGAGCTGCGTCGGAGCTTGCCGCAAACTCTGTTTCTGGGGTGGCGCCGGCGCAGCGTCGTCTTGGTGCGGTGGCGACTCCGTGAGGCCTCCGGTGCAAGCCCAGGTTTGCTCCCCAGCTCCTCGATCCAAAGCCCCGACTCTGAAACTTCGGAATCGTGAATGGTGGCTGAGTTGACAGATTTTCGGTGTGGTCGCAGGTTTGTCATGTCGACGTTCGCCGGCGTATCCGTCCTCGACGGCGACAAGCCGTGCTCTTGCGTAACGTCGGGCGCCGGCGCCGGTGCTGGCGCCAACAGCGTGTACCACCTGCTCGTGGTCAAGGGCTACTCGGGTATCAAAAAGGAGTTGCCCAACGGCGAGAGCTGGTGCACTGATTTGTTCAGGGTGGGAGGCCATGAGTATTCCATCGAGTACTATCCTAACGGCGCAAACCCCAACTGTGCCGACTTCATTTCGCTCGATATTACCCGTTTGTACGACGAATATGTCGAAGAGGGTGTGGAGGCCAAGTTCAGTTTCAGTCTCGTCGACGACGTCGAGAAGCAGATGCCGACGTACATTCGCGCGACTCGTAAAACCCGTGACTTCCGCAGATGTGATCCCTGTTGGGGTTGCGACAAGTTCATGAGAAGAGATGCCCTTGAACGATCAGCCAGTCTAAAGTCTGATTGTTTCACCATCCGGTGTGATATTTGTGGTGTGCAAGGACAACACCCCAGATGCCACCGGCTCCGGCACCGGCGCCGAGGTTCTCCTGCCCGACATACACCAACATTTTAGCAACCTCCTTCAGAATAAGGTGGGTGCTGATGTGACATTCGAGGTCGGCGGCGAGACGTTCGCTGCACACCGGTGTGTGCTCGCTGCCAGGTCTGAAGTGTTCATGGCGCAGCTCTTTGGCACCGCTACGCCCAGCGTCATACAGATCACAGATATGGAAGCAAAAGTGTTCAGGGCTTTGCTTTGCTTCATCTACACAGACTCGTGTCCTGAGATGGAGAAGAACAGCATGGAGGATGATGAAATGCCAGGAGTTGCGGAACAAGGACAAGTAGAGGAAGTACTGGAGGATAAAACGTCAGAAGTTGTGGAACAAACACAAGAAGAGGCGGTAGAGGATGAAATTCTTCTGCAATGGCTGCAGGACTTGTTTGTGGCGGCAGACAGATACAATCTCCAGCGGCTCAAGTTCATCTGTGAAAAGCAGTTGTTTGAGCATGTAGGTGTGAGCTCGGTGGCGTCCACTCTTGCTCTAGCCGAGCAGCACCACTGCCATGGATTGAAGGCGGCGTGCTTGAAGTTTATCCAAGTCCTATCTCCCTCGCGTTTGCAGACACTAATGGCAACTGATGGATGGGGGCATATAGCAACGACATACCCCTCTGTTTTGTACGAGCTCATTGCCATCCTTGCGTCAAACCAGCGGAAATGACACTCTGGTATGCATGTTCTTCAAGTGACACTCTTTTGCATGTATAATGTCCTCTATAGATTATCGTAGTTTGTGTGTTCTGCTTTTAATTGTCTCGTCGTGTAATTTGCATGAATGCTGAATCAGAAAAACCCAATATATGGGCATATTGTCTCTTCATGCAGTTGCAATGGATGGTCTGTAAATTCAGGTGTGAGGATCAACATTGATCTGCATTGCAGCAATGCACAAGTTTCCCAACAAATTTCATTTTATCCTCATATGTTCGTCTGTGCATTGTGTCGTACGGTGTACCTTTGTGCATTCCCTGTCATTTAATACCCTTTTCTAGTGGTTATCAAGAAGAGCAAATGTTTGAAGTTTTTTGGAAAGGGATTTTATGAATCTGGATTTAGGGGAAACAATATTGAAGACAAGACAGGTCACCTAGAATTTCGGTTGCCGTGACAGGCGTGGTGTGAAATCTTGATCCAGTACCAGGGATCTTCTCCTTTATGCTTGTTGTTCTCCTCAATGGGACAAAAAAATGACTTCCGTTGTGGTGTATTTGGAAGCACAGATGATGATTGATTGCTGTCAGTTAGCTACTGTATTAGACAATGACTTGATGATGAAAAAACCAGCTTGCTTTGCCATGAGCCTGAAAGTGTTGTTTGAATGTGTGATTTCTAGACATCACTAGTAGTAAATAAAAAGAAGAAAAGAGGTGCCAATGGCATAGTAATCAAGGTACCAACGAGCCATGTGATGGTTTTACGGATGCAATCTAGAATGTCGCCATTCTGCAAAGCCACATGAAGGAAGTGGCAACAATCTAGATACCAAGTCTTCATACTGTCTAGACCCTGACATTTTCTAGTAAGGAAAATATCATCAGAAGATCAGTTTGCATGATAGTAATGTAACATGTTGTTTTCTCATTGATGGTTATCAATGCAGTCCGCAGAGGGCAATGTGCTTGGAAGTATGAGATATTTAGTTTACTTGAGGGGTATGTGCCATCAATAATATATCATATTCATACCAGTTTCCATGAATTAACGCATTCTTTTCGTAGATATTCTGCACTGCTTTTTGCACTTGGTAGCTTCATATGAAAGATATTCCACTTAACTGAAACCGAAAGTATGTCAAAAGAATACCTTCGACTGAAACTATGTCAAAAGAATACCTTCGATGATTATTAATTATTTGCTTGTATCTGATTGTCATTTTTAACTGTGTGGATAATTTGGATCTCGGTGCTTATTCATGTGCAAGTTGTCATGCTCTTTTCAGCCTAGTGAGGAATTGATACTCTTAAAAAAAATACATGAGTTCGTAATCTTTTGCTCTGAAAACCATGATTGGTTTTGTTCTCATTGTTGATACTGGAGCTCTACTACTCACTGTGAAGTAAATAAAGCTACTACACAATGCAGCTATGACGATTGATTTAACGACAAGGGGCACACATAATATAAAATAAGTATATCAAAATGGCAAATCCGTACATAACCTTCAAAGTGTCTTCATATCGGAAATCCTATTCCGAGTGTGTTTTATACATGAATATTTATACAAGTCACATGAGATAACTTAAGTCATATTCTGTGTTTAGTAAAAAGTAGATGAAGATCACATAATTCGCATTTTGTTATCTTTGTAATTATACTCCAAGTATTGTGTCCACTGCAAAAAAAAAATCTTATTATGAGATCATATATCTACTCTCCAAACAAAGTCATTCAATACATGTATTACCATGTACATAGCCTCTCAACAACGTGCGGGTACCATCCAGTTTTGGAGTATAAAGTAACTTCTTGATGTCACCACGCTTGTTGTGCTTTCCTGCAGAGTGATGAAAAAAGGCGTGTTCCGTTCTTCGTGCCGCGGGCAATTGGCACGTCCACACGGAAAAAGTCCAAAATCAACCCTGAACTCATATGCGTTAGCTAAATCGAGCCCTCAACTTCAAATCCCGGAAATCAGCACACCAAACTCACTAATCCCGGTCCAAAATGAACCCTGAGCTCATTCCCAAACAGGGATTGATGACATGGCAGAAGGAAACTAGGATTGGCCCATAGCGCCCGCTGTTGTGCACGTTGGGCGCGTCGAAGTTGGGCCGGCCCATAATGCTTTCCTCTGTTATTAGTGGAGAGGCAGCCCAAACGGCAGTCCATCCCCTCCACTGCGGCGTCCCCTGGGTTTCCCATGCTCGAGAGACAGCAATGGCGAGGGGCGGGTGATCGGTGGCACCGGCGACGATCGTGACGGCAGGACGACGCGCGGCGTTGAAGGTAATTTCTTCGATATACTCCTCCTCTGGTCGCCGCAAGTTAGGCTCTCTTTGCGTTGTTAGTGTTAGGTTTTGTGGGCGAAAAATTGGGGCTTTTCGGCAGCGGTAAAGTTAGGTTTTGGGTTGATTTTTTTTTGCCTTTTTGTTATTCCAAATGCTCGGATTAGGACAATGTAGTGATATTGTCATGTTTGTTTCAGTTAAATCATGGATCCGACGGAGATTCTGAACGTCAAATTTCACTTTGGAGGGCAGTTCATCCACAGTGGTCCTGTTATGGATTATGTGGGGGGCGATGAAGAGATGTCACAGATCGAGAGGGACAAGTTGTCATTGCAAGAAGTTAAAAGGCATTTGAAAGACCATGTGGAGTTGAAGGAATCGATGAAGCCGTATTTTCTATATCCTGGAAAGGAACTAGCTGATGGTTTGCTGTTTTTGTTTCATGACAGAGGTTGTGTGAATATGTCAAACTACATTTGTGTTGGATATGTAGCAGATATTTATGTTGAGTACCATGGGGAGAAGGACAGTGAGTACATCAGCAGTGGCAGTGATTTTGGGAATGAGATAATGGAGGTAAGTGATGATGAATTTGAAGAACCTGATACTATCATTAGTGCAGAGGCAGAGCCATTTGACAGTGGTGTGCTCACTCAACTTACTAGCAGTCCAGTTAAGCAGCCCAGGTCAAGAAGAACTTTAGAAGTTAGTGCTGTTGTTCAAGTGCCAGATTCCCAATTTCTAATTTCTCAAGTGTGCAATCAAGAAGAAGGGCCAATTGAAGCACTAGAGGAAGTTAATGTTCAGAATAGCACAAGAGCAGAGCAAGTAAATGTTCAGAATAGCAGAAGAGCAGAGCAAGTCAATGTTCAGAATAGCACAAGAGCAGAGCAAGTCAATTTTCAGGAAAATATTGCACCAGAGCAAGTCAATGTTCAAAACAACATTGCAGTTCCAGACAGTGATTCTGATGAAGATACTGAGTACATGCCACATAGTGAGGATAGTGGAGAAAATTCAGAAGTTGTGGAGCTTAGGAGGCATGCTAGAAAATTCAAGAAGAAGATGAGAGATACAAAGAGTTGGCTTGCAGGAGATTCATCAGCTCCTGTTCCCATTGAACTAATTGCAAAGATGGAAGAACAGATAGAGGGAGAGGAGAAGGAGTGGGGATATGATTCATCTGATGAGGATTATTCATATGATGAAGATTCTGATGGGCAAATGGTTAGGAGGAAGAGCAGGTATCCAAGATACAACAATGGCATAGATATTCCACACTTTTCATTAACAATGGTGTTCAGGAGCAAGAATCAGCTTGTGAAGGCCGTGAAGAGATATGGAATTGTTACCAAGAGGAGCATTGTGTTCATGAAATCAGAGGCAGACAACGTCAGAGCTAAGTGTGGATGGCATGGGTGCCCTTGGTTGATTTATGGAGCCAAAACCTCAAGGACAAGCAGGTTTCAGATTATTACTTTTAATGATGAGCATGAATGTGCACAAAATAGAGAGAACAGACTTGTGACAGCCAAGGTTATTGCTCAGAGATATGAGCACTTCATTTTAGCTAATCCAATGTGGAAGATTGAGAGCATGAAAGCAACAGTTCTCTAGGATATGTTTGCTGATGTATCAACTTCCAAGTGCAAGCATGCAAAGAAGCTTGTCATAGACAAATTAAGAGTTGGAATGAAGAATGAGCACACCAGGGTTTTTGATTACTAACTGGAGCTGCTTAGAAGTAATCCAGGTAGCACTGTTGCAGTTTGTTTGGATCCTACAAACATGGAAGAAAACATATTTCAGAGCTTTTATGTGTGCTTTAATGCACTGAAGTTAGGGTTGAAGGCTGGCTGCAGGAAAGTAGTAGGATTAGATGGATGTTTTTTCAAAGGGGCTGTGAAAGGAGAGATGTTGTGTGCTGTTGGTAGAGATGCCAACAATCAAATGTATCTACTGGCATGGGCTGTTGTTGAAAAGTAAACAAATGAAAGCTGGAAGTGGTTCATTGGCTTGCTTATTAAAGATCTTGACATTAATAACAATGGAGCTGGATGGGTGTTCATTTCAGATCAACAGAAGGGACTGACTAATGCTACAAAGGACTATCTGCCAAATGCAGAGCACAAAATGTGTGCTAGGGATATCTATGCCAACTGGAGAAAGAAGCATAGGGCACATGAGTGGCAGAAGAAGTTCTGGGCAGTTGCCAAAGCAGCAAACAAGCAAGACTTCAACTACTACAAAGCAAAGCTAGCCCAAGAAACACCAGATGGTGCAAAAGATATGATGAGAATAGAGCCAATGCACTGGGCAAGGCCATTTTTCCCAGTGGGTTCCAACTGTGAATCAGTTGACAATAATCTTTGTGAATCTTTTAATCATGCAATTGTTGAAGCAAGGTTTTATCCAATAATTTCAATGCAAGAAAAAATCAGGAAAAGATATTTGTTAGAATTCAGGAACAAAGCGACAAAGGTCAGAAGTTTCATGGAAAAATATGCCCAAGCGCATTTAAGAAGGTGAAGAGTAGCATAGCAAGGACACAGTTCATGGAGGTACTTTGGAATGGCAAAGCTGAATTTGAAGTCAAACTTCTCACTGGGAGAAAAAGGCAGTACACAGTGAGTCTTGATAATAGGACATGCTCATGTGGCTACTTCCAGTTGGCAGGTCTTCCTTGTGCCCATGCAGTGACAGCTATCTTCAA